CACCCTGAAAAAGTTGAGAGGATTATATTGATTTCACCTGCAGGATTGATACCAAAGTGTTCTTTAAGTGTTCGTTTGGCAAGGTTTTTTCACTGTTTCATACCCTGTGTGCCTCTATGTGTCTGCCGCTGTTGTTTCCCACGCAAAAATCTGCTGACAACACGAAGCAAATCCGACAACCATATGCTATGGAGGCTATTCGTTACACCGAAATCTTCCGCAGCAATGTTAGGCATCCTCAAAAGAGTGCCCTTGTGGAGTAGCGATGGACTTTATCAGCGAGTAGGTGCTTTAAAAAAGCCTACACTTATTGTTTTCGGGGGCCGGGATGTAGTAACACCACCGACATGTGCTATGCAGCTTCATAAATACTTCCTCAACTCTCATGTGATCATCTTCCCCAACGCATGCCACTTGGCATCGTACATGATACCTACCCATCTAACAAGCACTTGTTTGGCCTTCCTTCACGTCCCACCCAATGAAAACGTTTCACGTTACATCTTTTGGTTGCCCTTTGGACCCCATGGCGAATACATATGCAGGGAAAATCGGAGGATTATAGAAGAGTATGAGGACGACGTAACAGTATCATCTATTTTGAGCAACCCCAGCGACGGCGCCCACATCCGTGACATCTCATTCACAGACTACGAAGAATGCCCAATCAAGCCCGCCGAGTTCAACGTTGTACGGTTTGACTCTCGCCCACCAGTGGTCGTGGTCAACAGATACGAGCCACTTGACGATGCTCCAATCTAATATCAATGTAGCTGTTAAGTGTTTTCGTTTTTGTCTATTACAATATCGATATAAAACTGTAAAAGTTTCTGCATATCGCCGCCCGGCTCGAGCATCGCCAACCGGCCAGGCGCGTAAAGCGCACATCGGTATTAAACGGCTGGCCGCGGAATATGTTACACCAGGAGAGGTACTAGTTAAGCAGCGTAAACCCATCGCTCAAAACCCAAATGTAACGCGAAATAGACATTTCAAGTTCTATCCCGGTGAGAATGTAGGTGTGTCGCCGAAGACAACTACGTTATTCGCTTTGGCAGCTGGCAGGGTTAAGTATACTCATGACGTTGAACGCAACATTAAGTTGGTCAATGTGCTGCCGGAACCACCAGACGAGCTGTTGCGTGACGACCTATGGCGTTACCGTACTGAGCATGTTTCAAGCATTCAAGACAATTGTGCTTTAGTTTGGAGGCGTGTAAAGAGCGCGCATTACATGTTATCGGAGGATTCGTTGCTCAATCCACCGCTTAAACCTCCACCTAGGGCACGATTCCTCTCAAAAAACGACCCGTGGAACAATCAAGCATACCCAGACCTACCTATCAACTATAGGTTCCCGCCAAAGTTTCGGGGTTAGACAGTGCGATACAACACATCTTATGATATAATATCGTCGTTTAACTAGCCATATGCGCATTGTTATAATAGATTTCAAAAAGTAGAGTACGTATACGCTACATAGTTGATTACGGCTGTATAACGGATCGGCCGAGCGTTGCGTAGGGGGCAAATAGAAAACCATTTATTAGTGAAACACATCTATTGGTTACTTCGTATTAAAATGTCAGTGTCCCAAAACTAGATAGTTGCGAATCGCCGCGCAACTCAGAGCTGTAGTTTCAGCACGGGCAAGTTTGTACCTTCGCGTATATTCCACGGCGTCCTCTTCCGATTCAAAAATGATATCGATTTCTGTCACGCTATATGATACCAGAGTCTGACAATATGAGTGGTTTTCACGCCGCGAATTTTTTGAATCAGGATACCACAAGATGGCGACGGAGCACGTTCGGGTACTTGCGTTCATTTGCCGCATCTCGACGTTCCACAGGGGATGCACACACCTGAGAACAATGAAAACGGCAGAGTAGAACTTACGTCGTTTCGAATGTTCCGGGTTCTTGCGTTCGACGCATTAACAGGAAGAAAGCATCGCTGCAAACAACGTACCGCCTTTTCCTCTCAGAGTTAACTATCATAATGCACGGGTATTTGTGGACATTCTCGAGCGTGAAGTGCGCTCCTAGAACGATCGGCGTGCCATTGATTGCAAGTTGTTGATCCTGTAAAAGCGGGCATTGGTTGAACCCTATGTCTAGTCGTGCTTTTCGTGGTACCGTAATACTGTCAACCATCAGATCCCACGATTCAAGTTCTTGCAGTACACTCCTAACCAGTAAGGCTGCCTGTATATGACGACGGAATAACGTCATCCGTTCCAGCAGTACTCCCCAAGAGTCGTCCGTACGCGATGTGGATTTCTGCTGCTGGACCGTTGCGATTTTTTCGTCTAGGGGAGGCTCTCCGGTGTCAACCGTTGAGCTTGATGGGCCATGATTACCAAATAGCCAAAGACCCATGGGAGTGCGATTTGTGATTCCAGCATTCATCAATGTCTCATCGACGTCAGTTTTTACCTCGACATTATCGGTCGTTGACGGCGTCTGTGAGTGATCACCCACATCGCCTTTTACTGACACGGCACTTTGTGACCTGGGTAGATCATTGTGAGTAGTTTGGCGCAAAAAAGGGTCATATTTTTCTGGACCTAGTAGAAGCTGTGGGTACTCGAGTATGTCTACGCGCCTGCTAGGCACAGCTTCCATCCTCAACCACTCGTCGTAAAATATTACAACGTGATGAGGGGCACATTGCTCCAATTCGCTGTTTATCAGCATGGTGAGGTTGTTATACGCAACTTCCAAGTGGAACTTGACCTCTTCCAGAAATGAATGTAACTCCCGTGGATCATATCGTCGCACTATATCAGCGCTGTTTCGTATGATACACAGTGCCAGATTCAGAGCCTGTATACGTAGTGTTGGCGAGGAGAGTTGCCGCGCTACCGCATTCAACACCTGTGAAACCACGTGGAGTCCATTTGTAGTTATGGGTACCGCCATAAATTGTTCAAATGGGAAGTCATCCGCGGACTCGGGGTTCGGTGCGAGTTTCATGAAGGAATTCTGAAGGCTGTGTACCATAGCCAACAACATTGAGATTCTGCTATCACATCGTGGAAGATCACATATAGCGACTTTCAAGAACTCGCCCATTACCAGATTGAGCACATATTCCACTTGAGTTCCCCCTGCATCACAATCGGAATTGCAGCTTAGTTCCCTTTGGAACGAATTTTGACCGAAAACGTGTCGCTCCCAGGCCTTCATAGAATCAAATACCGATGCTGTTGTAGCATCCACTTCTCCATCACCAGCATTCTCATCACCCGAATCATCTGTCACAGCTGAATTGTATGAAAGCTGTCTTAAGGGTGTGAGTTGACGTATCTCTTCCAATATATTGCGTGGCGCAAATGGGCAGTGGGTCAGCAGTAGAATATATCTCCTTACATCTTCCCTTCTTACTGAGGATAGATGCATTACGAGCAGATAGTAGGAGACTGTAGGAAGCAACTCGTTTGCTAGTATTGTCGCTGGTATGTTGAGATTTTGAAACTCTGCGATGGACCTCGGCGTAGGTGTGGGTGACGCAGTTGGTGAGTCTTTGTCATCTTTAGCGTTCGACGCTCCGAGAGTCCTTGTATGGTCTTCTTCCAAGTCAGTGGGTGAATGATTACCACCAAACAACTCGCTTTTGTAACTTGCGTATATACCAACTAGCCCGTTCTGTATCATTAATTTCTGATACGTGGAGCGATAAAAACTGCATTGTGGCACAGCAGGCACATCTATTGCGTCGATAAGAGACGCGTCAGTGTCGAGGTTACGCAATATCGACCCTATGAGCGGGAAGAAACATAAGGTGAAGAGGCGTTGAAGTAATACCTATGATAGATGACACGTCTACGTAATTTACTCACCTCATTGATTTCTTGTATACCCAAATCCATTATATCCATTAGAAACTGGAATACATCGTCACATTGTGTCAATAGAATTGACTCTGCCTGTCCTATCGATTCCATATTTACATTTTTGATATTTCTGTTAAGCCTTCTCCAGCTATATCGCAGATATAGTGTTAGCTGTGTCAGTATGCGCGACTTGCGGACAACGTATTGCGTCACGGATGGATCATTCAATCTTAGAATGTTCAGAGCGATGTTCATGACATGTGCCCTTTTCATACTGTCACTGCTTGAGAGGAACCTGAGTGCCTCCTCTAACAGTGGGAATGATGTATTTCCCTGATTCTGATTATTTATGCGGTCTATATACCAACCTCTTGATAAAAGAACTTAATGGTGGTGGAGTTGACTACCCCGCTCAACGTTTTAAGCAGGGAAACGGTCCAGCTGCTGACATCCCCCCCGGTATACATATTATGGTGCGTGATGAGCGCATTCATATAGTTGTTGGAGAGCATATAGTAGCGCATCCTTTCGTTTTCTACATTGTGGATGAGCATTGACATCGTTTGTAGCAACTGTATCCGAACTATTCTCACTGGTGTACATGGCAGTTCTATCGTAAGGAATTCCATTATATTTTCTTCACAGAAGTATCTGCACCACTTATAACCATATAGTGTGGGTAACATACTCGAACAACCCATCGAAGTCGCTCTTCGCTCCCCAAATTAACAGCTCCGCCAACTGTTTGAGGGCGTCTACCATCTCCACGGCAGATACCCTGGTGAGCGTATGACGATTTAGAGTGTTGACATGTATCAATCTACGTTGGAATATAACAAAAAATTGCGTTTTTTACCTCAACCGCTCTAGATACATCATGCCGAGCTCCCGGACATCACGTCCTTTGACTTCCCTGTTGTACATTATGCGATTTAGCGAAAATTCCACATTTAATTTGAATCTACACGCAGCTTTACCGCGACTGAAGAGCTGTCTCCCGTTCAGCGTACAGTAAACGCCGCCGACACCCCCATCCAAAATGTGTAACATGGAATCTGCATTCCTGTCTCCATTCGGCGTTCCGTCAGTATCTAACTATTCATCTATCTATATTTAGTTGCGCGTTAGTTTCCGCGTGACTATGTGTTATGATAAAACAACGTCAGAATGACTCAAGCGCCTCCAGGTTTGAAACAGCGTAGGGTCCTTTGATGTATGATCCGTAAACACGATGAGCTCGCATCGGTAGCTTAAAAGGTGTGCCATCACATATGGTCACTTCGTGCACATCATTCTGCGTACCATATTGTACGACGATGAAGTGTTACCTTACCCTGAACAGGTATAAGATGTACAGCTGAGTCTCTCCCTCGCACTCGGCATCAGGTTGTAGCGCACCCTAAACATATATACATAAGATGGAATATGACAGCGACGGCTTTCAACCACGAATGCTTTTTTGCCGTGGTAGATCCATGTCTACCTGACGGCTCCACGCCATTGCGACAATAAATCGAAAACAATGAATAAACGTAAACTTACCAAATCCAATGGATTATAGAAACCAGGTAGAAATGCGTATGACATTGGTCCCCCCGGGTTTATATGCAGCACGCCGTGGTCGATGAGTACCTGTAGTTGGACAGTTACTTCTATAAAGGGACCTCTTAGATGCCTCTCAGCTATTGTTTCTATGGGAGTAATTTTTCCTGGGTTCCTCAGACTCAGATCGCCATACAGCGCCTTTTTGATTACCAATCCTGAACGATTTGTATCACATACATTTGGCACACACCACCTCTATAGTACTCATGGATAACCGACACAATGTACGTCTGCGTTTTATCTTGCAGGAAATGGCGATATCGTTCTTTTAATCCCTCTGTGAGTGTGAGGAGTTGTTCTGAAAGTTCTTCCTCCGTGGCGAACCCATTTTTTAAATCGTAAAGCATACGTTTGTATTCGTCACTCAAAACATCGTAGGCGCTTTTTATATCATTTAACAGAGTCACTGCCGCTGGATCTTGGCACCTTAATTGTGTTATGTTACAGCTAAATCTTACACCTACTTATCTGGATGTAAGAAGCGCGCGAAATGGTAGTATGCTCTACGTATATCTGCCGTCGTACAACCTGGTTCCAACTCCAAATAATCATATAATGATAGCCTTTGATTACTTTCTAGCCTTGAGCGCTTGCTTTTGTATTCATCGACGTTCCCAGAAAGCCTGGGCGCCGGACTCGTCGAATCTTCCATCCGGCTACATGGATGATGAATATTTACCTAATTGAGGTAGTTGTGTGTTTGATACACACCTGTGTGTCTTGTTTTTGTGTCTCTATTACTAGGTATTTGATCTTAATCGTGATACCATCTAGTGTGTAAGGGTCCCCCACTCCGACTTCCTACAATCGTCGTTTCATCGCGCGGTTCACAGCCATCACGAGTAGAAGAGACACTATGAACCTTAGAGGTTCCACTACCTTAGTGGCAATATATGCTACTGTGAATTTTGCGAAGTAGCTATCCATATCCGGTACTTGGAAATGGGTGATGTTGATTCGCTCGAGGACGCGTCGCAGATCGTTGCTCGAAAGGTACCCATTGAAAGTTAGTATGTTCATGAAAATTAGAGTGACCACATAGACACTGTGAACGGATGATGTACTGGACGTATTATCTTACCCTAAGTATATCCCGGCTCCAAGTTTACCGTACTTCTTGATGGCAAACATAGCACTCAATTTTAGCTGCATTCATCACATCATCTATTGAATTGTAACTCACCGCTGTAGAATTCTTTACAACCTTTTCCTTCAGCTCTTTCATCTTCTTTCGGCGCAAAGCATTTCTTGGCGTTGCGCCAAACTTTAACCTCTTCTCTAAGAAGTAACGCTTAGCGTATTCAAGGTTCCAATGCGATCTTCTGTATTCCCGGTACCTTGTAAACACTTTGAACAAGACCAATCGGCTCTTCAAACGTGCCACAGCACGATGCAACGCCTTTTTCCTACGTAACAATTTCTCCCGTATTGGTGTCTTCACATTGGATTCTGGTTCATCAGTTTTGTCATTATGATGGTCATTCTTGGTTGTTTTAAACCTATGGCGGCTCGACGAGTCGGTCGTGAATTGCGACTTATTGAACTGGGATAGTGACCTAATTTGGCGATGGAATAGCGATTCAGCCGATAATAATGTTCGAAATCTGTTTATATTGCACGATATATTCGGTATGGAGCATCTTGGCGTATTCAGACGGAGAGGTATGCCTGATTTGGCAATGGTAAGGCTCTTCCATCGAAGCTCCAGTATGGACGCTCCGGAGAGCCCTATACGTGTACACATCCCTATAATATATATGTTATAACAGCTAGTGTCTAACAGTGAGGTGATAGGCGTTGCTTTATGGTGTGATAGGGCGCCTAATAACAGCATAGCTACTGCTTGTTTTAGCACAAAATAACTATTTCCGTAATAATAGGCTCATGAAACAAGCCTTCTAACCTAAGGTGTTTCGAAATAACAATAGAAACGTATCAGTTGTTATCGGTAACACTGTGGTACGAAGCTTTAGAGCTGAGGTAGCGGAATGTGTCTGCAGCGCTGCGGTAAAATTCTGCAACGCTCTCTTCAAGAGAAACGAGACATGTAACAGTAGTTTTGCAAACATTGCTGGACACTATGTATTGATTTTGAATCAATTTTGACACAGTAACCTGTGGGTACACCACTGAGTCAGTTGGATACTTGGCAAAGCTAAAGTCACAGCTGAGTCAAGGGGCACGGTGCTACAGCAGCCATTTATTGTGCCATATGCAGTATAAATTAATTTTCAGCCACCCGTAGGACTGACGACAACAACACGAAGATCCCACATTAATGGACATACATGGTAGCGTAACTACAAGATTGACAAGGTGAAAAGTGATCATACCTTTATGATGTTTAACGATCCCTTTCTAATATGGGTCACATCATACGCACAATAGTTTACTTAGGCTCCGCTGGCAAACCGGATGTCTCCATCCAGGCGTGTCGGAACGCATCGTCATCGTAAGCGAAGTGGAACACAGACGCGGGACCATGGCGGTAAGCTTCAGCAATACCGTTAAGTAAATTCTTTGCGACTTCCAGTTTAGTGGCACTCGGATGACGGTTCCTATCACCACAAATGAGATAAGTTGAGCAACATGCCATTGGACGTTGTGAGCGTGTTGGATCGCGTTTGGCCATACCATTGTGGTCGCACACAATAGTCATAAGGTTCTCTCCCGTGAGGTGCAACGCAGTGTAGAAATCGTTGACATCGCCGTAGTTTTTAGCTGACGGTTCGACAACATAAATCAAGCCCATGTTATGGAAATTGTCGTGAGGGTGTTTGTTGAATATGCACACGAACACGACACCTTCGCCTGGTGTTTTAAAGGATTGGTATTCTTTGGGTAGGCGACATAGGGCGTATTTTAGATCAGGGTGTTGGAAAGCGGAGTTTTCCATGGTCACGGTGTATACGTTTTCGTCAGCTGCATGGGCATCAACGGCCTCTTTGTACATCGTTTTGAACAGCTTGTGGTAAGCGTCAACGTTGTGACCAGCTGCCCTGATAGCTTCGGTGAATACATGGTGTGCACTACCATGGCCGGGCATGGCGAAGGTAACGTCACCAGCAATCACCTTGCAACAATGTTCTGCTGCATCAGCTTTGAATGAGTGTGGTAGGTCTCCGGGTAGTGGCTTTGATGCAAATGCAACGTAAGCTGGTGATATACGTGAACCCTTGAATTCTGGGTGTTTACGCATATAAATTTGAACGCCTGGGACATGAACAGGGGCCTTACCGCGAGAGTTAGCACACTTGTTCAGTGTCGTTTCAAACTTGATGGTTGTAGCAACATGTTTCATAATCAGGGCCTGTTGTAGTTGCACACAGTGAGGTATGGCATCTCCAAGGGCGCTGAGGATGAGAACCTCGGTTCCTAAAGTCGTATTGGGTCAATTTAGCTACTGCAACATACCTCCAGCAAGAAGTTCACAAGAAGTACGTATGAAAAATGCGCGAGGCCTTTGAACCGAGATCAGTAGTACCTTTGAGTTAGGATACTCCTTGCAAATAGCCTCAATATTGACCTTAGGAGGGGTCTTTGTAGTTTTACCGCCTTCAGTCATTTTGGTCTTGGTGTGAATTTCTGATGGGTTTCGTTGTACTGACTAGATATTGATGCCAGGCAATTGTCGTGCAGCGGATCACACACGTTAATTTTAAAAGTCAATCAACGTCCGGGCTCAGGTCTACAAAGCGTATGAACTAACAGTCCTATTGATCTTATATCGGAATATAAGGTATGATATATCTACAACCGTAGTCGCACGGATGTGCTGCTGCTTGCAGAGGGCCACTGGCGACGGCGGAGGCCCTACACAACAACGATGCACGGGCCAATCCCTGGCAAGTTGTTGTAGAAATCGTTGTTGAAGGTCATTTCCGGAAATTGGACAACGCACAACTAGCATATGGAAGTAAATATCCGCAGATCACAAATGATCGGTAAGGGGAACACCCCTAACAATTGACGCGGCCCTTGTGTTTATCACGCTCAACTGAGTTGATATATTGTGTTGTAATCGTGTATCCTAACGAGGCCTCTCGAAAAAATGTGGTCGTAGGAGCATCGCCGTACCATCCGAAGGGTAGTTAGGGCCCCGAGCTGGCATGGTTATTTCGTCACACTGCGGCTACGCATGGAGGCCATCCCTCAAGAAATGTATCTGATACCACGCCATTGCCATTGTGTTCACGTATACAGCCCATATTTTATTATTCCTACGATTACCATGATACCTGTATATAGCAAAAACGTCAGATGTGCGATCACATAACGACCCTCAGTGCACACCAATCATGTGTCGAAAGGTGAAACCTGTATATTTCTGTCATAAATACCCCAAAAGGAGCACCTTCGGTTGTCAAACCCGAAGGTAATACCAGAACCGATTTCGTGTCTACGGGCATTATTAAGTCAGCTATCAGCCTTTGCTACACCAGTACCCCTCATGTGCGCGTCATAAGATTATATGTCTTTAATAGGTGCGGCGCTATAACACAGTGTGAGCTAGACTTGCCGATTAGAACGACATTCCCCGAATGGATTCACCCATAGCCTTCCGCCCAAAGAATAGTATCGGTAAGACAGGAGGCTGATTATAATAATTTCATTCGCGATATCATATAGGGCCCATTGTGATAGTATTTGATTTCCGAATGATAGGCGTACTGAAAAGTCAAGGGATTCCCTGTCCCCAGTAGGATGATGAAATAGCCCCCAATCAACCTAATATGATCACAGACTAGTTTGTAGTAGTTTATTTTAACTTCAAATATTTATTGGTGTGCTGCCAACTGTGTAGTTTGTGGCTGCATATACGCAATGAGGTAAGCATACACACTTGGCATGAAAGTAGCCACTTCGCGGTTGTAAAATGGTATTATCACATTTCTTCGTAATATCCAGCTGTGGAGATAGGCTGCTGCTGCGCAGCTTACGTGGCGAGAATGCTGGAGGTATGTTTTTTTGACTCCATGTGCACGGTTTTCTAGGATCGGCAGAGGATTTCTACAGCGCTGTTACGGAACGCAACGAGGACACAAGCCCTCTGTTCAAGTTAGGAGATGTATTCTACTATCACATCAAACGTAATGGACTTTATTTCGTGGCAACGACGTCGTTCGCCATACCACCAGCGTTCGTATTTGAACTTATTAATCGCATTATCGGAACATTTAAGGTTAGTTGCAGGCAATCGTTGATAACGGTCGCTAGGACTTCTGCGGTATGCTCAGCGAAGAATCTTTAAGGCAGAACTTCGTACTGGCATACGAATTGTTAGACGAAATACTGGATTTCGGATATGTGCAATGCACAAACACAACACAGCTGAAACAAAAGGTTTGCAATGTGGCTGTACTCCCGAAGATACATACGCGATCAATGGTGAGTATATTGTATCACGTGAGCAACACCGTGTTCAGGGGAGACTGCGCATTGGAGCGTCATCAAACGCCAAAACAGTGCCCAGCGTAGTATCCCAGCGACCCATAACTGGCGAAGCGTCAAAATCTAACGAGATATTCCTGGATGTCTTGGAAAAAATATCCGCCGTACTAGGACCTAATGACACCTATAGGAGTATGACAGTAGAAGGGCAGATTCGTGTAAAGAGCTTCCTTCGTGGGAATCCTATGGTGAATATTGCACTAAACGAGGGCATTGTGATTAATAAACGGCGTGGAAAGGTGCCGAACGTAGCGGTGTTGGACTTCTGCAACTTCCATGAATGTGTGGATACAGGAGAGTTCGAAAAGTCAAGAGTGCTATCGCTCTCTCCCCCTGAAGGAGAATTAATTCTAATGAGCTATCGAATATCTGGTAGCGCTGTCATGCCATTCAAGATCAAGGCAAACGTCGACATCGCTGGCGACACTGTAGGTGTTTAGTGCCATATTCTTAATTTCATCTCAGGCAACGATGATTGTTAATTTGTTTTGTACAATGCCGCAACACGTAATAGCAAACGTGAAACTGAGATGCCCACTACCATCTTCAACGACAGCAGTTGCCCTGAGCACGGTGCCTCATGATAGCGGTCAGGCACCGGAATATCGTGCAAAAGAGCAAGCAATATTCTGGGAACTTAAACGACACAGGGTGAGTCTTCATTTTTTAATAGGTCATATGTTGTAGGGATGTACCGGTGTAACTTTACGAGCATCAATTAGCATATCGGCATATAATTCTACGGTTTCGAAGCGTGAATTCGGGCCTATCAACTTGGCATTCGAGGCGCCCATGTTTAGCATCTCGAATGTTCAGGTTCGATACCTTCGAGTGTTACAGCCACCTTCGGCTGCGCCTACGTACCGCTGGGTACGATACGTCACGTCTTCGAACTCATATCTCTACCGTTTCTAGAATATAATACTAACGCCTGATAGTAATGTTCTTCGTATCCCGGCGATTTGAATAATGGAGCGAGTGGCGTTAATTCTATGTTTATAGGCATAGGGTAGTCAACGACACTGTGGGCCCATCTGGCGTCAAATTCACCCCTATCATGTTTTCGATGTGGTTTGCCGCCAAGCATATCAAGCGTCACTGATCCCTCACTTCGTCTATCATATTCGCTCTTTGTTTTTTCCAAATTGGCGGATATGCGGTTTGAAGGGTTCACAGCTTGACCCGTCACTTCCGCTGCCAGATGCCGTTGCTTGTCACTTTCTTCCTCGTTGCTCTTTCGACTGAATTCCACCTTACCACCTACAAATATCTATTGCAACTATTATTAACGTACCTAGCGTGACTCGGGTAATGACGTGCGTTCCATAATTGCGAAAGAAATTGTACCAGAAAGAAAGCGCCACATCACACTGAGAGGTATTATAATACCTCAGAGTACACCGTTCCTGTTTTCTAAGTCCATGTAATAGGTCGTTGAGGGCCAATTCAAAACCACGAGTTAAATGGCTGCAATGATATGAAAATATGTTGGTGACTCATACCTTTGGCCAGTTAGAGATGTGCCAGCAATAAATGCAGTGCATGATGCGTCTTTGCCGATATGATCCGTCAACTTTGTAGAATTGATGGTACTATTTAGCGAGATCTTAGCAGACAGGGATGTCTCTTTTCGACTCTTTTCTGTGTCAATTTTATCTGGTGTTGTAATTTCTGTATTATCGCCACTTCCCTTTGATTCCGCACTATCAACAGCGTCATCAAACAGGGCATCTATACCATCTTCATCTGCAATAGGTTCGTTTTTTTTGTCTTCTTTTATGTCTTCAACGTTTTTCTCATCGTCTGAAGTTGTATTAAACTTTGCATTCAAGCTCGCTGACAGCTGTTTGATGCTCATGTTCTCACTCTTCTTTTTCATGTCCTAAATCAAATTAGAATAGGTGCGAATATGTGTATACTTACATTTTCATGTATCACACAGGAAGGTGCTCTCCATGCGTAAACACCAGTCGGCAAGGCCCACCTAAGGGAATTGTTATACCGTCTAGCCTCATGGCTCGGCCACTCTAACTGAATAATAGGTCCTTTATAGCTTGTATCGAATGAGATTTGTTCATCTGAATTTTCCTGTTTACTTAACTTGCGGGCGCTTTCCACGGCATCATAACCCAATCCCAAGTACTCTGTTTGCAGTGTCTACAAATGGCTATATTAACTAACCCAATCCTGGAACTGAAGGCCGATCTCCAGGCTCAACAGATCTTCGTCCATTTCCAAAAGCATAGGGTTTATTTGAGACACAACTGGCCCTATTATTGATATTGCTAATTAACAATATTAGTGCAATTGTTTTCGACGCACCGCGCCAAGTAATACACGGCGCAACGGTGTTCGTAACTATAATTATAGTAGACATTGCTTTTAACATTTGTCATCGTGATATAGATATCTAGCGTCCGCCGATCCAGGTGGCAACTCCGCGTCTGAAAGTTCATTGTGTACGTGACACATCCACTTACGTAAGTGATTGTCGATCGGCAACCTTTTCTCCTTAGCAGTTGACAGCATCGATATGATACTGAGAACAAAACTCGTTATCGATGCTGTGGGTAAATAGTCTGCTCGCAGACTGCTCAGACATATATCCCCGTTAGAGTAGACGTGAGCGTGTACTGGCGCTGAGAACGATTTGTGTCAATTTATAAATCTTTTCACAACACAATCGATTAAGAACGTATGATATGAGAATATTAATACATTTATCCTTAAAGAAGACTCACCTGGTTGTAAAAAGTAGACCACCGGTGGCTTAAATGGGTACTCCTTGGGGAATAGTATTTTGAGTCGATATTTCTCGCCCTCATATACAGTTCCAGGTAACCCAGTCCAAGTTACGATCCATATTTCTTTACGTGGGCCGAATACCTCTACACTGCAATTCGGCGGTGGATCTTTTCTGAAGTTGTCTAGCTCCTGTGATGATGTAAACAATGATGCGGCTCCCACACAACCTACCTTCTCCAATCGATTGAAGTACACATTACTGCGGTTAATACCGAGAGCAAGATGAAAGTAAGTTCCCGGACGTGGAGATCGCGCCGCGTACACATAACTTCCATGATAGACTAGTGCGATTAGTGCACATTTGAGAAAGAGTAGTGACATATTTACATGTTTGAAATACATAAAATACAACTAGGACGTTATATAATAATTGTTCCGCTATCGTAGAGACTCTTTGTGATCGCTTTGTGCGGAAGGACTATAGACCCTCTTAGGAAGAGTCCCTCCCCGACCACTACGTCCTTTCCGAGTACCGTGAGACCTTCAACACGTACCTATCAGCGAATGTGTACTGCTAAGTAACAACGTACCCATGACTTGATGTGCGAATCCCAGCCTATTATGCTACCCTCAATGTAGACATGAGCCTCAAGACAGGCACCTATTATTGATACACGGCATTACTTTGACACTTACCAGCAAAAATGGTTGTGCGGACTATCCTGCAACCCTCCCCGATAACAGTATTCGGTCCTATACAAACGTTTGGTCCCAGTACGCAACCACGTCCGATACGGGCAGAGGGATGTATGAGCACGGGTGGCCGTATAACTACATCCTCCCCGATATGAGACAGTGCACTAAGATCCGCTGTTGTTCCTCCTAACGGCGGAGGTACAAAATTATCCGTCTCGTGAAGCAGTTCGACAAGTAGCCCACCCTTGGTTTCGACAAGTACCTGCGAACCTTCCACGTGATCTTCTCCACCATCGGCCTTATAACGTAGCATTACCCCTTGCTCTTCATTTGACGGGCCGGATAGGTATAGCTGCTGTCCTCTAATGTAGTCTGACGGTTTCCCGATATCAGCCCACAACCCTGTGAGTGGATGGCAATAGGTACGACCCATAGTCACCATGGTAGGGAAAAGGTAGCGTTCTATGGATACGTTTCCTTCAGGGATATGATCTATCATCTTTTTATTGATGACGTAAACGCCTGGAATCTGTTATTGTATAAACCTGATTAATTACCTGCATTAATTTGGTTCGAGATAAACTCCGTTGGCTTCTCTACGAATTCCTGTATTCGGTAAGTTTCGTCGTGGACGATGACACCGAAATCACTCGGATGCGTTGTTTTTGTGACCAGGATTGTTGCGTCCGCTTTATTCTTTCGGTGCGCTGATATCATCTCGGCGAATGGGTAGTTGCAGATGATATCACTGTTCAGCACCAGAAGTAGCTCACAAGCGTCGTCAGGATCGCATATAAACGATTTAGCATGCCTCAGTGGTCCAGCTAATCTAATATAATGTTGAGTTTTTGAAACTTACCTGTACCGAGTGATTCTGTCTCGATTGAGCAATCAATGCGGATCTTGCACTGTAACATTTGTAATATGTAAGATAATGAGGTACCTTTTCGCTAAGTTCCGCGATCAATGGAACCATTCCTCGTTGTTCTTCCGATATTGCTAGTATAATGTGATCCACTCCGGCCTGCGTGTTTTATGACGTGTGTAGAGCGTAACTTCCAGACATAGTAAAGGTTGTTTACCATTCCGAAGCATTTCACATTCATCAACACGGATGTTGGATGATATATGATTGAAAAGAATATGAATGTGTGAAGGAATAAGGCCGTGAATGTGTATTCATATGGAAACACAGGTTACATACCTTTTTACTCGCACTTATCTGGTACTCTATGATAGGTCGATTGCAGAATGGAATCATAGGTTTAGGTACCGTTAGAGTAAGCGGCCTTAGCCGGGTGCCATGCCCTCCGGCAAGTATCACGCACTTCATCTTGGCAGTGAGAGAGCGGCGTCGGTGTACTGCGAAATATCACCCTTTCTAGGTCAATTAGCTTCTACTCATTGCTGTGTACATGTGTCACAATTATCAATTAGGCTTCTATAAGTGGCGATTATGAGCCACGTGCCTCAATGTAGTGCGCGAGAACTCACTGGTGTACATACATTTGCGCACCGTACTTCATGGCGCGGAACGGCGAATGACGCATGTGTGTGCTTCTATAGTTCACAGTAATCTATTATATTGAGATGTGTTAAGTAAATGTGTTTGTAGCTGTTCAACGTGCTTTGATAGGCTTCGGGATTCCAGATACCAAAGGTAGAGCATAAAATTCGACTGCTGCGATATATATGGCCATACACACATGTAGAAAATAGCTACTGTAGTTGTCAAGCGAAAATGTGTCAAATACACGTGACTTGAAGCCCCATCACGATGTTTTTGTTTGCACGACCGTTGTGTTGTAACCCGGTTAAGCAACCACTTAAAGCAATAGACACGGGACCATAACATTAGATATAGCGAAGGATATATGTAGCTGACTTTACTTTTTCGAAATATCACCTAGGAGGCTTCAACGCCGCGATGGAAGTTAACGCGCGCAAGAGGCATAACGCTGCCAGGGGAGTTTCCCCGAGGCCGACAAGGACTGTTAAGCCAGTCAGAAAGACCTACCTTACTGTTACGAAGTTCATCAAGGATTATGCAGTCGTACTTACATTGCTTGGTGTCTTAGCACGTATGTAAAATTGTATTACCAGATATAACTTTTCAGTGGGCCTTGTTCTGAAATATTTCGAAGATAGCTACCATTCTATGGAAAACTTTACGGAATTCGGTGATGATATATATGCTGTACTTGGAATTTCACGCTCCGCGACGGATGCTGAGATCAGAGCGAAATACCGCCAACTGAATCACAAGTGGTAATTATCTATGTGAATGCATTAAACTGCTTTCAGGCACCCAGACAAGAATCCAAACTGCAGTGATTGTAAGGACAAGTTTATGAAACTGAAAGCTGCTTACAAGATCTTAAGTAAGTTGAGGCGCTGCTATACCACATTACCCCTTTCAGGCAATCCTGAACTGAAAAGGCTGTATGACCGAACTAATGGCAGAACTGTAGATGTTATACCCTCTACGACAACTGTCTTAACACAAGCAAATTATGATGAACTTGTGACCGATTCCGGGGATGTCTGGGTTGTACAATTGTACTCTGACGACGTTCACGAATGTCAAAATTTCGCCAAACACTGGGAGGAGGCTGCCAATAAACTTGGACATTTTGCCAGTTTCGGACGTGTAAACGGTCTTTTATATCCAAAGGCCGCTAAAAAATTGCCTATCAAAGCACAACTGCTACCGGCAGTGATGATGATCTTCCCTGATGGTGGATATGACCTGTTCCCTCAAGAAGTATTACGGTCGTTCAGGCAGTTTAAGGATTATTTCTTGCAAGTGTACCCAAATGTGGTGATCAACTGCACAGACTACGATGACTTCAAAAAAAAAGCTGCCGCTTCGATCGACCGTCCGGCCATGTTGTTCCGCAACTATGGGCCAGGGCGTCCGGTACCGATTACGCTTATGAATATCGCAATGAAGTATAAATGGGCATTTGATACTTACTGGCTGTCTTCTGAAGTACACCTTCACGCTGACCCAACGTTCATGAATGACCTCATGGGCGTGTCTAACGGGGATAACAACATACCGGAGTCTACTGCGGCATTCCAAATGAGTAATACTGTGGACGCTATAGCGATGCTTTATGGCGCTGGTGCATCTTCCTTAATGGCCACTGCTCCTTATTCACGAGGTGCCCTGGAACCGATTCGACGCAGCATAAATTCCATGGTAACGGTATGTTGTGTTACTTTCACATTGAATTCATCATGTTGTAGCTGTTATATCCTCCCTTAGAATTATCACGTGAATCATTCCGACACCTCTGCAAGGATGAAACCGGCACGATACATCGATTCTGTATAATACTTGCAGGTTAGTTGAAATATTCTGTAGTTTACATTTTCACCAGGTGAATCATACTTAAACTTTCAGGAGAAGGACATTTTAAAGATGTTAGCGCAGTTTGAACGCGATTCGGGTATAGGCAGCATATTCATCCCTCGGCTGGAGTCTGCGGAGCCTGCTCCTGCGCTCACAAAATCTGCAGATGTCAAGCTTGCGCGCCTGCCAGAACAACGCTCTACACGTATGATCCGTGACATGATCGGCAATGCTGTTATTGTTTTGGATGCAGCGCGCAATAAATTCTGTTTGATTAAGTCCAACGGTGGTCTATACAGTTGCGGTATAGATGAGGACGCAGGTCTGTCCTGGGTTATGGATATTGCAGAGGGTGCTTATGATACGCTTTCTTGGTTTGAAGTAAGCAGAGCTTTTGGAGGTTCCTTTGATGATATGTGTATTATCCGGACCAGACGTTGGTTCTATTTCTTTTGAAAATTAGTACCTAAATGATATACTTGGTCATTTAATGTAATATTCGTAGTATTTAGCGTAGCAACAGTAAAAATCTAGCTAGGACTAATTGAATGTAGATAAGGGTAACATAGATGATTCCTCAGACATGTAGGTGGATTGACACTATGTTGTATATATACAGATTGCGATTAATAAGTGTTCGTTTTCTTTTGAATTCTATGTGTATTCATGTGAATCTCGGTCCTACGCCTTGATATACGCTAGGTCTATGTGGCAGTGCCGGCAACGGTTTGGCTGTGCGTGCAGACTGAGATGTTATTATTTTCGAACTATTTTAAACCTACTCTAAAGAGTATTTGTAGTACGTATAGCTTCAACGTTTCATCCCAGTGTACGTATAATTTTCCAGGTGTGTCGTCAACTTCTAGATTGGGTACTTTGAATGCGATTGTTTCGTATGGCTGTGCCGCAAAAAGTAGGAATTGGAATGCTGGATCCGGTGGTCGTTCCATACGTTGTTCGAAAGAAGACATTAGGCGATATCTTGGTTTACCCTCGATATCAGGGTATTCAATCTCAAACAACAGTCCATATTGTTTGGTTTCCGGGTCTTGCATTTTTGTGATGCGGTACCCAGGTCTACCGATTTTGACAGCACTTGTACGTTGCGCACCCGTCTGAACTCTGTTACGAGACGATATAGAGTGTCACTTACAGGCTTTGGAATTGGCATTGAGAATGTGTTTTTATCTTCCTTTGCAGCACGTCGAGCCAGATTCATCTGGTGTTTTCGACCCTGTGTATGGCTGAGATATGACCCATCGGTCGCATGTAATGTTAGACAAAGTCGACATTCCAGCTGTCCTAGATGGTTCTTTTGAAGATATGGATCCTTTCCCAAATCAAAAGTCTCTAGAGCCAGACGGCGAAGGCGATCTCTGTTATGAGATGCCAAATCCTGTGCGGAGGCAGGGCCACCGCTACCAGTTTTGTGTCCCACCCTGTTCTGATAATCCATATTGTAGAAATATAGTATATAGTGGCGTCGATATGTATGTTAATCGCCGCTGTGGTGCGCTAATGGTCTGAGAGTGGATTCCATGAGATTCGATGGAAAAACTAAGTAGACAATATTTACAAATTCTTAAAACATTATTTTGATTTATTTTAAAGTCACATCGATGTGCATCTATCTAATAATTATACGGCAGAGTACTCCACAACACATCACGCGGATTCGATACAAGGCGTGTTAGATATTTCTATAGCACACATCTGATATAACCAAATTCTATAGTCCATAACATACATATGTATGGGCTGTCAAAAGTCATAATTCATTCAAAAGAATTTGAATTACGATTGTGTAACCGACGGGTTGATTGCTTGTGTTTCGTAGCTTTCTATGAAACTGAAGCTGTAATAGGCAGAGTCACAATCTATTTTACATTGTTAATCTATCTCGATCCGTTTTCTCATTGTTATTTTTCCGTAGCGTAAGATGATGGAATCGCCGAATTAGGTTATATGGATTAAGGTCCCAAAATAGTGGATCCATCGCTATTTACGATCGCATAATGTAGCAAAGGATGACACCGGTTGGTGGTATAGATAGGAACCATTCCGGTCCTACCCGGAAAAAACAGGTAGCTCGAGATTCTCTATGTGCTCTACTTTGCGATGATGCTTCCTTGCAGAAATCAGCTGCACTTACTCTATCACGTGCGTCAGCTACCGATAGTAAGTGACTATCACATCGTTTCTTAATTTTTGGTAGACGTGTCGCTGGAGGTATTGTTGAGTCTCGTACGTGGAGAGCCGCCAAACTGTATGCCATCGTTCAGTATATCCAAGTCGATCTTTCTTCCTAAAGATAGCTGGATCGAGAGTACAAAGAAACTGCCAGCGGCAGACACTGAGATTGGTGTCAATACCCTAAGGGAATGTCTCCAGGGTCCGGAAGCATGGGAGCGTGCACGAGTTGTAGCGCTAAAAGCGCTGCTCGTTACATACAATAATGAGAAACGCCAGGTAGATGATATCCTACCGCACGTGTTGGTGGGACTGAAGGCTGATTCGGAGAAAAAGCTCAGTTACTCCAAGGAAGTATCTCTAGCGTTGGCAATAGCATTTGCCGAAGCAATACCGGACAGCGACAGTTTTGAATATGCCGTGCTAAAAATGTCCCTTGTCAATGAAGATATTAAGATTCCAGTATTACGCGCCATTATTGTACGTGCTCTAGGTGAATTAACATTGCTACCACGTCTAAGTCACCTTTTGCATCGTATGCTTGACTGTGACAGTAGCACTCCGGTTTTCGACGAACTACTTTACGCTCCACGGATGCCAAAGCTGGCGGCTTTCGCAATAGTACACTTCTGTTGTCTGAACCGTCAATGCCTTGAGAACGCTGTACCGTACGCATTGCAGGTTATCGATTGGCATGCAGGCGATCGATCGGATTTGCGTCTACTTTTTTTAGTCGCCCTTGCTGTACGTTTGGAAGGTATAGATACTACAAAAGGAATTCGTGG